TTGAAAGAGCTCCTGTGTGTCGCTGAATGTGAGCATTGATGACTGAAGGACATCTTCTGACTCGATTTATCTGTTTACTACAGTGCGTTCAATTCATGTTAATGTTGATTTAAAGACATTTCAATTAGTGGAAACAATTGCAGGGGGGAATATAAAAAAAATGTCTAACCAATTATATTTCTGTGTAAATAATTTTTTTCAAGGGGTGTTTTATATTTTCTACAAATGTTGTAATAATCAGTGTTTTAATAGTTTTCTGCATTTAATGTGTGCCTTCTAGATGGGTAGCTTAAGCAAAATTTATTACGGTTTGATAATGAGAATAAAGATTCTGGATTTTGCTTCTTATAGGAAATTCAGCTGAATAAAAGTTCTTAATAACTAACATTGTTTCTTGTCAAAATCTTTCATTCATTATGTTTTGGTTATCGATTAAACAAACAGGAAGGGTTAATTCTCAATTAATCAAATACTCAAAGCAAATGTCCTGCTGGGATATATTTTCCAGGCCTGTTCTTTGTTTACCTCCATGCTGGTGCGATTGCACTGGTGAGTATCAGCAAACCAGCTGTCACCTGTTGCACACTGATCCAAGTCGATGTCCTGAATGTTCACATCCACACGAATAACACCTCTAAATAACAGACAGACAAAATGAATGTTGGTCAATCACATTAAAAATAAAATTCAGCCTTTAACATCTGCTTTCCATTCTGGGTGTTTTTCCAAAATTTGGTAATTGAGAGAATTCATTTTTATATTAAGATTATACTTAAATTCTGTGATCCATGCCAAATAAAAGTTTTCTTTTGACTTTTAATTTTCTCAACTCCCATAAAAGATTTATAAATTAAAATGCCACAAATATTGCTGCTTGGTGTTAGAGTGTCGTGCTTATCGTAAAATTATCCTGCTTGCTCATTTTTGTAATGAAAAAAACAGAGACCAAGATAGATCATTTTAAAAACATTTCTGTACATCAATCCTAAATTTCAACTGAAAACTAAAAGAAATTTGGGGAAATAAAAAAAAAAAATAAGCTACACCAACCTAGTTTCCGCCTATCTGTGACCAACACCTTATTGCTGTATTTTTTGATTCAACCACTACATACTGTCATTTGTACAGCTAGTATCCCATTCTCTGGACTTGGCCATATCTGCCCACTCTAACTCACTCAGATTGTGTAGATATCTGGTGTCATGGGTCCTATATAGTTAAACCCAGACAGTTTATTTTAGATCAAAATTTTCCTCTGGGGTATATTCATTTTCCTACAATTTAGACCTTTTATGAACTTGGATTTAAGCCTGGCGTCACTTTGATGCTGGTATTGCTCTATAGATTAAGGTTTTTGAGTCAGAACAGATGAATATTTTGGACTTATTATAATTTTCTCTAACTGAAATAAGTCAGCCCAAATGCTTCATAATGCCTATTTCACCATATCTGTATATAGCACAGCTTTTGAACATGTGGCCAAAAAGTTCAGGTTTGGGTTCATTATTCTATAATACATTCATAGAGTTTTAACAGATTAATTATGTTTCATCCTAACAGGTTTGTTATTATGCTTGACTCCTTTTGCTTCCATATTGGCCTTCATTTGTTTGTGGCAGAGACTTAACAAGATGTTAGAAACATTTCTCACAGAGTATACTGCATAAAATCATCACACAGTTTAAGAAAATTTGTCAGCTGTCCTTCAGTTATGGTAATCTCCCCTTACATCACATCCTGAAAGGTGCTCTATTTGATTGATATCAGGTGACTGTGCAGTCTATCGGAGTAAAGTAAACTCTTTGACATTCTCAAGAAACCAGTTTTAAGCTCAGCAGAGGCAGAGGAAGACGGATAAACTGTGGGCATAAAGGGATGGACATCATCAGGTTTGACAGAGTTGACTCATTACTAGAACTAATGGTTAAGTATACAACAGTTTCGACAAAACCAATGAAAGAAGGGGAGATAGTTTAGAATTGGGCAGAATCTGTTCACCTGTTGTTGCCTTTCTATCATCTTAAACCAATCTGCCTGCTTTATTCTGCCCATTGACGACAACAAATTTACAAAAATACTGGACTTTTTTCTGTCGTGAAGTTCATTAGGTCATCTTCAGAGTCAATGTCATAAAATTGTTTGCTAATCTATTTCTGTTTATGAGGAATTGAACAGGTGTATCTTCAATAAATGGCTACATAATTTAAAACAAAGTTTTTGTACTGAATTTTCTGGTCTCCTATTTCCTTTTCTTTTCCTTTTTCATCAAATAGAATGTCCATTTGACTAGAGGTATGTAGAATTTTTAGATGGCCTTTATTTAGCACGTTTTATGTAGAGCAGGGGTGGGAAATTCTTGTTGCTGGGAGCCAGTATCCTGCAACTTTTAGATCCATGCTTGGTCCAACACACCTGACTCAAATGGCTGAGTTATCTCCTGAGTATGTCGTCAGTTCATACATCTCTGGATGGAGTGTGCCTTTGGTTCAATACACTCAGGTGTGTTGAACCAAAGGCACATCTAAAAGTTGTTGGATACCGGCCCTAAGGAACTGGAATTGCCCACCGTTGATCCAGAGGATGAGGAGGTACTGACCTGAATTCTGGTGTCAGGTCTGGCTTGAGGCCATAGAAGGAGGCCGACAGGGTGAGCACCCAACCAGGCTTGAAATATCCATCCTTACAATCCAGAAACGGAGAGCTGGCATACTGTACCCCAGCACGGTTAGTCACATAGCTGTCACCCTGTCCCCACTTTGGTGTATCTAAGGTGCTGAGGTCATTGAGGAGCACCCGCTTGGACAGGGCTACAGATGGCTGGCCGAACTCTGGAAATTTCAATTTTCTAAACCAGCTGTCATCAGGGGCAGGAGCTGGAGGGTGGAGGCTGTCCCAGGCCTTGGATAAGTCCTGAAGGAGGATGCCCTGCTGTTTACCAGTTGGGTTGCGAGTTGCACAAAGAACCAGCTGTGGCACTTGGGCAGTAGGATCAGCATCAAAGGTGAGCAGAGCCCGCTGAATAAGGAAATCTGCCTCCAAAAGGGAGCGAACTAGAGCATGGTACCACTCCATGTCTTCATCCACGGTACTCTCTCTAAGGTCACTGGCCTGGAACACCATATTGAGAAAGTTGGCAGTATTAGCCAGGGCATCCAGAGCTGGACCAAGGGGAATGTGGAAGTTACTTGGCAGAGATCCAGTCTGTCCCTTAATGCTATAGGCCCGAGAGCAACGAGCCATGCTCATGGTGGACGGGTCTCCAGTGTATAAAAAAGTCTCTGCTGGTGACCAGTCATCCTCTGTGGGAGCCTCTGAAGGGATCTCCCCAAACTCAGGAAGCTCTGAGGGGAAAGCTTCAGAGCCTCCTGTAGTGTTTGCTGATAAATCAGTGCTGTTGGGCATCTCGCCATTTAACTCTGTTAAGAACTTTGGAGTCACCTGTGATCTTAGGAGGGGTGTAAACAAAAGAAGAAGCCAGATATTCATTCTGAGTCACTCAATGAGAAGAAAAGAAACAGAAACTGGGCTTCAACAACTGTGATCTCTTTCAAATTCCTTTTAGTAAAGCAAAAATGACATGTGGGTTAGGAGTTTGTCTCACCTAACGGTGTCTTTGGGGACACACCTTCACAGTGTTAAACTCTGATGCTCCCACTTAATCCAACAACAGAAATAAACAACATCCCACAGACGCACCTGAAGGTTTCACACATCATCTCTAAAAGGATAGTTTCAGCCAGTAGATGCGAGAGTAAAAATAGGTTAGAGATGAGGGGAGGAACAGGCACATTTCTTCATCATCCACCTGGCGTCTAAAGCCTTCGCCTTTTTTGTTTCATAGTTGCTGGAGAAAAAGCAAACGCTGTTGGTCCTGTAAGGAGGATAACATAAATGAAGATGTCTCACTGGCAGAGAGCGGTTCCTGATGCTGGTAGGAACTCGGCAAAGATGAAAACAACATGTTGATCTGAAGAGATGGAAAGAAAAAGCAGACCTCCTTTAGTTTTCTCCAGTCCTCTATTCTTCTTCTGACTCCTGCTCAACTGATGCGCTGAAGAGCTTCCATCTCATCTGACAAAAACTTGAAATGCTCATTTACCCCCTCCCCCTCTGCTCTCTCTCACCCCTCCTCCATATTAATGGGGCTGCCTACCAGTGCTGAAAGGTGATGAGAGTGGTCCATCTGTTGTGTGTGTGGCATCAGAGAGGAGAGGATGATTCGCTCGGTCAGAGATGAGTGTTGGGCTAAGCTGTGCTGCATTTGGGCATCCATAAAGAGTCACGCTGCTGGATAGATGGATGGATTATCCCCTCCTACAGGAGAGTGGATGGAGAAGAGGATAGGCCTTTACTGCTTCCTATTTATCCCTCAGACACAAATGTGGGCTAAAGCAGATCAAATGTGGAGTGTGTAGAAATTTATGAATGCAGTTGTAAAAACAAAGCAGAAGCATTTGAAGTTTCGAATCTTCTGGTTTTAACAGAGTCAGGGAATTCACTGCTTGTATGTTGGTTATTATAGGTGTGTGTCTTTAAAGGTAAGCAAAGAAAAAAAGAAAGTTTCTAAACTGGTTAGTTGTGCTGGGGCAGTAGTATCCATAAATAGTTTGATTAAAAAACAGATGAGGGAGAAATACAAACGAGGGACCAGAGAGACATTTGTTCTGGTGACCTTGGCAACAAGGTGCTGTGAATCAGTACAACAATTAACTTTGGTTTGTAAAGAAGTAAAACACATGGCTGGCCTCACCACTTATAGTTTATTTGATCTTTTCTTAGTTTTTTATTGTCATTATACAATCACGAGTGCAGAGCAACTAATTTAACCCATCCCCTTGGTGAGCAGTGTGCTGCCATTGTGCGGTGCTAGGGGAGCAGTGTGGGGTTAAGGGTCTTGCTCAGAGACCCAGAGTGTCAGTCCATGGGAGTGGGGCTTAAACTCAGAAACTCTGGATTCCAAGTGGAATTCCCTGTTTCTTATAGTCACAAGTCTGCATGGAACTCCTTTTGTGTGGTATGATATTAAAACAGAAAAAAATTAGATACAGGACTAAAGTACAGAAGGTACAGAAGGCACTGATGAGTAAATCCACATACTACTATGGATAAAGCCCCATGTGTTAGAGTGGCCAAATGAGGATAGTTCTAGATCAGCCACATGTATCTGTTTAGTTTAAAGTTTGGGAAAATGAGTGAGGGGGGGAAAAGGGACCTTTACAAAAAAAGGAATGCCAAAACAATAAAAATAATTCCATATCAATGCGTTTCTTTGCACCATGTTTTTTTTTTTATCCCTTTTTTGGTTTCTCCAATATAAAGATCAGAGCATTCCTCGCTGCATTGAACAGCATATACCACTCCGCTCATATTCGGTCTGGGGGTTTTATCTTTAGGATGCACTAGTCTCTGTTTAAGGGTTTGGTTTGGCTTGAAATGTACTGGGATCTTGTGTTTGGAGAAAATCCTCTTGAGCTTTTCAGACACTCCAGCAACATAAGTGATTGTGATGTTTTTGCGTTTAATNTGAATGCAGTTGTAAAAACAAAGCAGAAGCATTTGAAGTTTCGAATCTTCTGGTTTTAACAGAGTCAGGGAATTCACTGCTTGTATGTTGGTTATAGGATTGTGTTTCTTTAAAGGTAAGCAAAAAACAAAACAAAAAAGAAAGTTACTGAACTGGTTAGTTGAGCTTGGGCAGTAGAAATCCATAAACAGTTTGATTAAAAAACAGATGAGGGAGAAATACAAACGAGGGACCAGAGAGACATTTGTTCTGGTGACCTTGGCAACGAGCTGCTGTGAATCAGTACAACAATTAACTTTGGAAGTAGAACACATGACTGGCCTCACCACCTTTTTTTTATTGTCAGTACACTACCACAACTACAGTAACAAAAATGAATACTTTGCATTCATCCCCTTGGGGAGCAGAGGGCTGCCACTGTGTGGCACTCGGAGAGCAGTGTGGGGTTAAGGGTCTTGCTCAGGGACTCAGAGTGGACCTAGACTTAGGGGCCCAGATTCCAAGCGCAATGCCCTAACCCTTGGGCCACCACTCCCCAAAGCAGGCATTAGCGCCTAAGGACCCACACTGGTAGCTCATTCCCCCAAGCTGAGATACGAACCCAGGCATCCTGTTTGCAGGACGGGTGAGTCAGCTTGAGCCACGCTTGAGCCAGCCAGCCGCCACATGTTTTTGCCATGTGTTTTTCTGTTGCGTCTTAGTGTTTGTTTTAGGTCTTATATCTATAAATGTTCCTTTCATGTGACTTAATTAGTTTTTCAACAGACCTTGTCATTGCTGTGGTTATCGCTTCCATCAGTGGATGAACTTTTAAAACTTTTGTCACATTTCAGGCTTCAAACATAAAAATATAAAATTGACATTTATTGTGAAGAATCAACAACAGGTCAGACACAATCATGAAGTGGAACAAATTTTATTGGTTATTTTAAAATAACAAATAATCAACTGAGTGGGGTGTGCAAAATTAATCAGCCTGTTTACTTTAAGTGCAGCAAACTCTTCAGTGAGGAGCTCTGAATGAGCCAATGTAGACCTAAAGGACTCGTGAGGATAAAAAGAATCCACCTGTGTGTAATCAAGTCTCCTTATAAATGCACCTGCTCTGTCTGTTTAAATCTCAGAGAGCATCAGGGAAATCAAGGAACTCACCAGGCAGGTAAAAATACTTGTGTGGAGAAATTTAAAGCCGTATTTGGATACAAAAATATTTCCCAAGCTTTAAACATCCCAAGGAGCACTGTGCAAGCGATAATATTGAAATGGAAGGAGAGACACAACCTTCCCTCTAAATTTCAGCTCAGACAAGATGAAGATTCACCAGAGATGCAGCCAAGGAGCCCATGATCACTCTGGATGAACTCCAGAGATCTACAGCTGAGGTGGGAGACTCTGTCCACAGAACAACAATCAGTGATATCCTGCACATATCTGCCCTTTGTGGAAGAAAGCCCGTTTCTGAAAGACATCCATAAAAAGTGTGGTTTAAAGTTTGCAACAAGCCACCTGGGAGACACAGCAAATAACTGAAAGAAGGTGCTCTGATCAGATGAAACCAAAATCAAACTTTTTGGCAATAATGCAAAATGTTACATTTGGCATAAAAGCAACACAGCCCATCACCTTGAACACATCATCCCCACTGTCAAACATGGTGGTGGCAGCATGCCACCACTGCTGGGCAAAGATGAATCATAGCAACAAGCTCTCACTCACTGAAACATCAAATTGTTGATATGGTAGGGTGACCAGATGTCCTCTTTTTCCTGGACATGTCCTACATTCCATACCTAAAAAAATGGGGGGGATTTCAAAATTGTCCGGGATTTTGGTTGACTACAGTGCAGCAGAACTGAGCCGTCAGCAAATAAGGCAACATCCCCGAATTGACATCAATTCGGTGCTTCGTTTGGATTCTCCCTCTTTATTGTGGAACTTTAGAATTGTGAGATTTTCTGAGAAAGGAGGTGTGTGAGAAAGGGGCTTCTCCACCCCCAGCTCATGTCAGGACTGGCCCTCACCAATAAAGGTTAAAGAAGACGGAAACTAGGCAACTGAAAATATCGTGAAGACGGGTGCGTATTTATTTACAGTGCGGAAGTGAGCATACAAAAATATGAGAAACAAAAAACTGAATAAACGCAAAAGAAAACCGGCCTCAATCAGGCAACACAAAATATAAACTANTTCTGCCCGGTGTTGTAAGGTTCTGATGACTGAGAGTTTGTGTTCCAGTGGGTGGTGTGAGTCAAAAAGAAGATACTGGTCTGTGTGAGTAGGTTTCCTATACACTTCAATGTTTAGGCTTCCATGTCCTTCCATGCTCACCAGACAGTCCAGAAAGGGTAGTTTGTTATCCTCCGCATCCTCTCTGGTGAGTTTGATGTTATGGTCAACGGAGTTGATTTGTCTTGTGAAAGCTTGCAACTCCCTTTAGCTGGATTTTGACGAATGTGTCATCCACGTATCTAAACCAGCGGCTTGGTGGTGTTCCATTGAAAGGAGAAACCAGACCCGCCAAGCACCCCACTCTAAGCACCCCCCAGAGCCCCCCAGGACCCAAGGACCCCTGAACAGGCCCCCGCGCCCTGTAGGACGTGCCCCACAGCCCCCCACTACACTAAGTGATGGAGTCGATCAAGGGAGCGCAGAGAGATCGGTCTGATGGGGATGCAGATGCTGTCTCAAGATTAATATGATCCAACAACAGATCTCTGTACTGATTGATGTTGAGGTTATTCTTACTTTTCCAAGTATAAGGATAGTTTTCTTTGTGATACAAAATGCAGTGAAAGCCATGCAAACTGATTTTTTTTTCAAGAGAGCTTCCCTCAGAGTCACCCAGGAAGCACACTGATGGGGAAGGTGAAATTTTACA